GGTAATGTCTGACTGGACCTCGTGTCACTTTATGTTCAACAAACTGGGCCCTGAGGTCAAAAAGGTGAAGAACTTTAAGGAAGAACTTTGTAAGGCTTTAGTGGATTTGACACCGTAGTTTAGTTTTAATTTAAACGATCAAAGAACCAAAAAAAGAAAAAAGAAAAAAGTCAGAGGAGGTGAGGAAGACTGATGTGATGAAGAGGATGAGCTGCAAAAACAGCAGACATTAGTTTCCTCTAATGAACACAGATTATTTCTTTCCCCGCTGATTTCCATGAATATTAAACTCTCCGAGTTAAAACTCGTTTTATTAAATCTGCAGGATGTGCGCGCTGAATTAATCTCACCTGGATGTAAACGCCTCTCCTCGCCGTGCCGCTCCTGACAGCTGAGCAGATTAATTGGCGTTTGCTGCCTTGATTTGTCTTATTAAACTAAACRCTTCTAATTCATTTGCAGCTGCATCAATCGGAGACGAAAGCAACAGATTCATTTTCAGAGGCTAAATAAGCGCTTGCTTTTCTGCGCATTTTGATCAGCGGGCGAGTGCAGCAGCATGAAGAGATCTCATGTAAGCTAAACAGATTCTCCGCTCTTTAATCAGATTAAGAAGGCTTATTTTAAAGTATTACCTAATATAGTGGGGATAGAAGATCCCACAGTGGTGATGTGGAATCTTAAACTCTCCTTATCTGTTAAAGCTGAACTTTTATCTATATAATAAAAATAATAAAACCTTATCGATAAAATGTGATGTTCAGACGCAGCTCTGATTTATTTCCGCACACACAACAGATTACAGTTGCAACTTTCTTCCTCTCCTGTGAGTCATCACAACAAATTCCTGCTCCTCGACTGCAGCTGTCCCACAAGACAATAACTCAGCCGCCCAGATAATTACCCATTCACACCGAGTCTCATTACAAGCAGCCGAGACGAGCCGTCATTACGTGTTTGCTAATTAAGGCAAGGCAAAACTGACTGCCGTAGGCGACAAAAATAAATAAATAAATAAAAATGCTTCCGGGTTTGTTTTCTTCGAGGAATGAATCCACTCTTTGAGCAAACGTGTGAATTATCTTCATCTGAACCTGAGGATTGGAGCTTTTTTTATTTTTTGTTTTCTCACTGAGCTGAAAAGAAGCAGAACGTGTTAAAGACGTCAAATCTGATGTTTTTACAGCACCGGGGCTAGTCAACTGGAGGCCCGCGGGCCACATCCAGTCTGCGGGTGATCAAAGTCCGGCCCAACAATTGCTTCATTAATCTCTTAAAGTGCCCGTGACACCAAATTTTTAGTAATAAATATTAATATTTTTTCCAAAAAAAATAACATGTTGCAAAAAAACTAATTTCTTTAAGAGGTTTCCATTGATGTCACTTCCTGTTTCAGTTTGACTGAACCAAGTTTAAAAGAAAAGAAGCAGTTGTGTAACAAAATGGGGCAAATCCTGTGTATTATGCCAAGTTTCCTAAATATAAAAAAACTAATTTCTTTAAGAGGCTCCCATTGATGTCACTTCCTGTTTCAGTTTGACTGAACCAAGTTCATAAGAAAATCTGCCTGTT